CCACGTGTAAAAGGATACGTAGGAGACCGGCAGTGCGAGGGCATCCGCAGTGGTGCCTCCTGTGCTGTCACGAGGCCAATACACGTCAAAGTGGTAGACCCTGCGCCATTCACGATATGTGGACGCGTGGTCCGGAGCCGGACCTAAGGTAGATTCTGCCACCGGCTGCCACGCGCCCGGTGTGTAAACACGAACCCATTCCACTCTTGAGTTTCCAGGGCCACGCACGATGTAGCGCGGGAAGGCCCATCTCTCGTGTCCAAATGTCGAATTGAGCATAACAACCGAATGCGCCGCTGTGAGACAAAGAAGTCTGCGAAAGAACAAGCATGGATAAAGCACAACTCAAGACAAGGCAACTCAAGCACAAGCAGCAAGCAAGGCGGGCCCCGTCAAGGGCTGCCGCGCTTACCGTGAGCAGCGAGCTGGTAGGCGTCGAAGACTGCGAGTGATTGACCGGAGGCGGTGTGACCGCTCTGCGTCATCTTTCTGGGATGTCATCGTAGAAGCAGGCGACGTTCTCTGTGACGCCTGGAGCAACTCGTGAGCTCGTTGGAGATTGTTGTACTTCTGAAGCATCTCATCTTCTTGAGCATCGGGTATGAGAGTCTGATGATGTTGCTGAAAAAACTGAAGCACAAGATTGCCCAAGTGATCGTGGACCTTGATCCGCTGATTGAAGTCATCAATGTTGAGTCCCAGCGAGTTGGCTAAGTCCTTTTCCAAAGTAAGCAGGTTGAGTGGCTGAGATCGACGGAGCAACTTCGAACAGGTACTCCAAAGCAAGGCCTCGGCGCGGGTGCGAAATCCTTCCCACGTCACGAATCTCCCGTGAGCAAATGGCCTCAGTAGCCAGTTAGAGATGCCACCGTGAATGACCTGAACCAGGCGAACGTCCCGGATGTCCATGCCCGACATATCCCGTTGCGTATTATGTGGGGTGTTGGCGACCGTCATTGGCAGGCTGAAGGAGTAGAGCTGGTTCTTGTCCAACATGCCGTCACCAGGTTGCCACTCTTCCGGTGGAGTAAGCCATGCCTTCTGAGGCTGCACTGGCAGCGTGGCCGGATAGCCAGGCGCAGATGGACTTGTGCGTGGCCAGGAGGCGGCAGCATCGACTTCACGGTCTTCGCCGGTGCAGGTTCTGGAGAGAACGGCATCATGTAGTTGACCGGAGGGTGCTGATAGAGCTGCGATGACGAGGGATTCGGCTGGTAGTTGCTTTGTGTCATTGGAAAGGCATTGGGAGCGTTGTAGCTCGGATTGTGTTGCCAGGTCATCAGGTTGTTCCAATCCATGCCGTCCGAGACCAAGGTGTTGTCCTGATCACGTCTGCGTGCTTTGCGAGGAGGTGAAGATGGGCTCCTATCCCGTCTGCGCCGAGTTCTAGGTCTCTCACGATCATCCCGTCGAGACATGGTGGCACAACAAACTCAAAACCGCGACAACTCAATCTTGAGAAAATCAAATCCGACAAGACGCAAGTCAACGCAAGTTCAAGCCAAGCACAGATCAACACGCGGTCATGCAGCCAACATCAGCAATTGTGAGCCTTAGCTATGATCTGACGGCTGTCCTTCCCTTTAGTGAAACCTCGTTCCTGCTTAAAGCGTGAAATTCCGCTGGACTATGATATGAACGTTGAGGTCAAACTTTCCGGCGAACCGGCCCGGGGTCACACGATGGGTACACCCGAGGTTCCCCCAAGCTGGGGTAGTCACACTTCAACTCCCAAGGGAGGGTGCTAATCATTCGAGTACAACTGATGAGTCTCGAGTACAACTGATGAGTCTGGAGTACAACTGATAAGTCTCGAGCACGATGAGTTTCGGCTCGCAATGCACTTGGCTTCCCCGTAGGACACACAGAAGCAACGGCGGTTCAGGGAGGGGACCAAAAGGACATTCACAAACATCACAATTGCAGGTACGTCCTACAGCGTCCCGTTGGATTTCACCAGCAAAGAAGGGCGCCTTTTGCTTGGCGCAGGTCCCTTCAGTGCTGCCCGCGCCCCCTGCTGAAGAAAAAGTGTTGGTGGCGGGGTTTTCTGCCACTCCGCACACACACAAACACACACACACACACACACACACACACACACACACACACACACACACACACACACACACACACACACACACACACACACCACACACCACACACCACACACCACACACCACACACCACACACAACACACAACACACAACACACAACACACAACACACAACACACAACACACAACACACAACACACAACACACAACACACAACACACAACACACAACACACAACACGACACACGACACACGCACACACGCGCACACACACACACGACACACACACACACACACACACACACACACACACACACACACACACACACACACACACACACTCACACACACACACACACACACACACACACACACACACACACACACACACACACACACACACACACACACACACACACACACACACACACAAACAAAAAAACACA